AGGGATGCTGCTCTACGCCCTCCTATGCACAGAAGATCCCCCCACAACAAAGAATTAGCCAGCCCAAATGTAAGTAGTGTGGAGGTTGAGAAACCCTGCCCCTAACATATTAACAGTTCATTTTTCTGTTCTGTGTCTATCCTTATGTGTGTACCTTTTTACATAGTGATAATTATGATGTACATTTTGCCTTTTTCCCTTAATTTTGTTTTAATCATTTAAACATTTCTACATTGTTTTTAACTTTTTAGAAAAGTACTTTTCTCATTTTATCTGGGAATTGAAAAGGAAGAACTGTGTATAATATGTATTATATTTTAAATGTCTGTAAATTAAATTTTTTTTTTTTGTCTATGTAAACAGAAAAGAAAGAAGGAAGAAAGAAAAGAAAGAAAGAAGGTTTGGGGTGAAAACCTGACCAGATATTTCAGTTTTTGTTGCTGTGCTATTACCTTTGTTCCCTAGTGTCACTCAAAGATCATGGGATCCAAAGCCCATCCTTTGCTCAGAGCCAGGAGATGTGCTGTAGCGTGAGGTGTGGTCCTAGGCTGTAGTTGGGGGGTACCTGCTAAGAGAAATAATAAGCAGAAATGATTCTTCACCCATTCACTTTGCCCTCTTCCTATTTAAAATTCTTTGTCTCTGTCTCAGTTTGCTTTGACAGCTTTACAGCCTAATTATTTACATCTAGAAGTTTTTGAAGGCCCCCAAACACTATCAGATGTGCTTCTTTCCAGAGAGTGGACTTTTAAAATACTTAACATTTATTTAGCATCTACTTTTTAGAGAATAGTATGCCCGTATACTTTGTTATGTGGGCAGTTTTAGGCACAGTTTAGATGTCAGAACATTTATAATTCAAAGAATGGATTTATATTACCTCAAGATCTGCTTTTTTAGAATTTTCAAACTACTCAACCATTGGGTCTCAATAAATCAACTGGAAACATGTTAGTTCTGGGATGTCATAGCAGAACAGGCAAAGAGACCCAAATATTTAAAATCATGGAAATATAAGCAGCATAATGGGGATCAATAAGTATACTGCATAAAGGGCTAATGTCAAGGTGTAGCAGAAGATAGGACCAGAGAAGCGAATAGGAACCAGAATGTGAGGAATCTCTGTTGCCAAGTTAAGGGGTTTGAACTCTTCCTAAAAGCAATGTGAATGTTAAGTAGCAAGTGATTTGCATTCAGAAGGTTCAGTCTGAGAGCTTTGTGGAGTACATATTGGCTAGGGCCAGCCTGGAAACAGGGAGGTCAGTTAAGGATGCTATTACACTAAACTAGGCAAATAGTAAGGGGAGCCTATATTAAGGCAGCAACCTTAGACATAGAGAGAATGAATTAGAAAATGATAAAAGATGTATTATCTACAAATTCAGCACCAGTTGTACATGAGAATGGGGTTAATAATAAGAAGGAGCTAAGGGTGGCTCCCAAGTTTCTGGCTTGGGAAACTACATTGATGGTGATTTTTTTAAAACTGAAATACAGCTTTAAGAGAAAGATGGATGGGTTGTTCATGAGACAATGGATATGCATTGGTCTTAAATAGTAGGCTCATTTTTATATTGCCTTCATATCCTACGTCCTTTTTTTTGAAATTTCTGTACCTCTGCCAATCCTGCCTTAAAGATTGGGCTTTGGTGGTCATATTTGTACCCCTGCTTCCAACTCATTCCAGCCACAACTGACTGAATGAGGATTATACAACTAACTTTGGAGAGGCAGTCACAATTCATTGGGTGAGCAACAAATAATTGTCTCATAAATTTGAACTAAGAGATCATGAACAGAAATGACAATCTGAAAAGTCACATAGATTTAGTAACTGAATAGCTATTTTAAGCCTTGCTGATGAGCAAGCAGAGAAAGTCCATCCATGTAGAGGAGTAAGTTAATGAGAGCTGATTCATAAGGAAACCCAGAAATGAAGGACCTCGTAGGTCATCACAGACTAGTAATGGCTGTCCTGTTCCATATCCAGTTCCAATGTAGCCATGTTTAGTTTGTAGCATATGCCTTTGTATCCTATTCTTTTAGTAACCCTCCTTTAGTAGTTGGGATTGGTAGACTATGAGAGACAGAAAGCTTAAAATAATGATGGCTTTAAAAAGCTAGAAATGTATTTCATGTAAAAGTCAAGAAGTAAGCAGTTTAGATTTTAGGTCAGTATCTTGAAATTGTCAGACTCAAATTTCTTTTCATGATAATAGGATATCATCAAGGCATGTGACTTCTACCTCATGGTGTCCAGGATGGCCACTCAAGCTTCAACTATCTTGTCTGCATTCCAACCAGTAGGAAGGAGGAAGGAGTGAGGAAGAGAGCACTCTATTCCTTTAAGGACACTCACCAGAGGTGGCACACATCCTATTGCTTAGAACTCAGTCACATGGCTGTATCTAGCAGCAGGGTAGGCAGGCATATGATCTGTCAAACAATTAGATGTCTTATTTCTGTGGAAGTAGGGATAAATAAATATTGAAGGACAACTGGCATTCTCTGTCATATGCACTCGTATTTGTTATAACTTCAGTGTGTTTCTGTTTCTTGCCACTTTTTCTAGATAGATCTGGAGTGTAGCAGAGATGGATTATTATTTAATCCTCCTAACAACCCAATGAGGTAGGCATTACTATTATATTCATTTTATCTTGGGAAAATCAGAGTTTAAAGAAGATAGATGACTTGTCTAAGTCACACCTAGAAAGTGGTGGAGCAATAGTTTGAACCAAGGTATGTCAGATTCCCATGCCCAAACTATTAATTACCATGATAGTGAGAAATTCAGAGAGCCAAAGGCAGCATTCTTAGGTATGGTGGCATTTAAAGAGTCTATTGAAGAAAAGGAGTCCAGGAAGGACACAGGGAAGGAAAGGCCAGAGAGGTCAGAGTGAAAACGGGAGAAAGTGACATCACAGAACAGAGAAAGGAAACACTTTCAAAAAAGGAGCGAACAGATACTGCAGAGTGATCATATATAAAAAGAACAGAACCATGTCCTGTTGGATTTGGCATTTTGAGGTCATTGTTGACTGATTTTGAGTATAGTGGTAAAAGCAGAAGCCAAAATGCAGTGAATTAGAGGACAAATTAGAAAGAGAACAATAGCTTGAGGGGATGTGGCTGGATCAAAGAAGGGTTATTTTTGTATCTCTAAAAGATCAGAGACATTACTGAAGCTAAGGGCAAGAAAGGAAGATAATGATCATACAGAAAAGGAAAAGCTTCCTTGAGGAAGTAATATGGGGTGGGATCCAGAACAGGTAAAGAGATTAGCTTTGGTCAGGAGGATGGAAAGCTCTTCTATTGAAAACAGAAAGAAGACATGTCTAAAGATGAAGGTTAGTATGTTGGTGAGAGGAGAAGAAGCCGACTGAGTTTTATGATGACCTTAGTTTTACTAGTGCTGTGGGAGAGGAGGTCATCTGGCAAAAGAGGGGAGAGGTGGAAGTACTGAATAGTTGTTGAGTAAAATGGTAACAGAGCTGGTAAAGAATACTTAGAATGACCCATACAAGTAGAGGAGCTTGGCTCAGGCTGCAAACCATGAGTTTCTAGTGACTCCAGTTTGCATATTTGTTTTATTTTTCTCTACTAGCACTCAGCAAACTAAAATAGGTAGAGAATAGTCACAAACTTTTCTAGAGCCAGGATTTGCAAGGAAGGTAGGACAAGGAACAAGATAATTAAAGACACTGGTGAGAGATTGAAATGATCAACACTTGGGTTTAGGCTTGAGGGGGAAAACCACAGAGTAGTAGTTTGAGAGAGGATATAATGGTCCAGGAACTGGGGGTCTCACAATAATTGTAGAATAGATATAGTTTCAGAGAGCAAATATTTCACACCCATTAGTATGGCTATTATGTATATTTTTATGGCAGTTCCTCAAAAAGTTAAACATAGAATTATATATCGAACAATTCCATTCCTAGGTATATACCTAAAACAATTGAAAGCAGGTACTTGGACAGATACTTGTATACCAGTGTTCATAGCAGCTTTATGCATAACAGTCAAAAGGTGGAAGCAATTCAAATATCAATAGATGAATAAACAAAATACATACAATGAAACATTATCCAGCCTTAAAAAGGAAGGAAATTCTGATAGATACTATAAAATGGATGAACCTTGAATACATTATACTAAGTGAAATAAACCAGAAACAAAAAGATCAATGTTATATGATTCCACCTATATGAGGTACCTAGAATAGGGAGATTTGTAGAGATAGAAAGTAGAATACAGATTACTGGGGGCCAGAAGAGGGGAGAAATGGGAAGTTATTGTTTGATGGGTACAGAATTTATATTTGAGATAATGAAAAATTTCTAAAAATGGATAGTGGTGATTACACAACATTGCGAATGTTCTTAATGCCATCAAATTCTACACTTAATGGTTAAAATGGTGAATTTTAGGTTCATATATTTAACACACACACACACACACACACACACACACACAAAGCAGGAAGTACAGAAGGTGGTGGTCAGAGTGCAACATTTGGAGTTTAGGCCATGGGGATGGATGGCTAAGTAGGATGGAGATTAAACATCACTGGCTTTGGGAAGGTGGTCAAGTCTAGGAACTTGGATGAGTCATTCACTTGGATATTGATCTGTAGCCTACACTGTTCTGACCAGCAAGCCCTCTCTTATATTTCCTGCTCACCCTCCAATACCCTCAAATTTCCCAGAAGCCAAGGATCCAAAAGTATTCTCAATATCGCCCATCTTTTTTTCCTTTCAATATCCTCCAACCTAAGACTCTCCCATTCCACCCCTACAACATGGAGCGAGGGAGATGGTGCTACCCTTTGGGAGCAAGGACTTATAATAATTCTAACATTTATTTTCTAATAACTCACAATCTCATTAGTTTTTCACAACTTGTTTTAACATTTTGATATATTCACTTCCAGTCTTTTCTTTATGTGTCTGGTGTTCCTATAGCTGTAGTCATACTTTTGCATTCTGCTTTTTCTCTTATCGTTATAATATAAGCATTTTCCCATATTACCAAATAGGCCTCATAGAATGCTATATATTCCTAGTGTCTTGGGCTCTCCGATACCAAGGACTAAAACCACAAATAACTGAACAGTACTCAGAGACCTTGTAGGGAGAAGGAGGATATGAGTGGGGACTGGAGGGTGGCGGGTTGGGTAGGGAGGAGCATGAGAAGATTTTTAGCTGTAGGTCATGGGGAGGATACATTGGGGTATAAATATTTAGATCTGGGTCCTTTTTTCTTTCAATGTGACTGTCAGGTGATAATTCAAATTCTATATATCATCAACAAAAACCATTGATGTAAAAATAAGGCTCTGGAAAACTTAGCAAGAAAGGAGAAAAATAATAAAAATTTAGTTTTGCTATTAAGAAAGCAAAACTGAATCTAGTTATGTGGGCTAGCTGCACTATAATAATAGTTATGCATATCACTACCATTTGAGTCAGATTAACTTGGTTAAAAGCTGTGTTTGATTATAACAGCAAGTCTTATTCATGGTTAGTAGTTCTAGTCACATGGATGCCACTTCATCAATCAACAGACACTTATCTTTCACCCATCATGTAGTACAGGCTGTTATATAGCATGACTATTTTTTTTTAATTAAAAAAACTTTTTAAATTAAGTTTATTGGGGAAACATTGGTTAATACAATTATATAATTTTCAGGTGTACATTATAATTTGACATCTGTATATTCTCATGTGTTTACAACCTAAAGTCCAGTTTCCTTCAGCTACCATATATTTGATCCCCTTTACCCTCTTCATCCTCCCCCAGCCCCCTATATTTGATCCCCTTTTTCCTGTCTACCTTCCCCCTCCTCCCCCAACCCTGCCTTCTGATAACCACTAGTCTATAGTCCATGTCCATGAGTCTTTGTTTGTTTGTCCTGTTCCTTTGTTAGCATGACGACTTTTAACTTAAAAAAGTTAAAGACAATATTGATGGCAGGCTTAGAGCAAGAAGTTTTAGAAGAGAGTCTAAATGACTTAAAAGTCAGCAAAAATTATGAGACATATTCCGAGAGCAAAAGAATCCCTAGATAGTACAGAATTAGTAGGCTCTCTAGATTCCAGAGGAATCCTTTTATTTCTAAATATTCAATAGAGGGAAGAAAGGCTTTGGAATTTATAACATTGCAAGGGACCTTTATGAGATTTTCAGATTATTAAATTGCACACTTCAGAACTTGGAAAACATAAATGCTTGTATTTTTAAAAAACACTCTAGTATACATTTGCATTGTATATGTCATGTCGTTTTTTATTTTAGAAGATATATAACTATACGAAGCTTTAATTTTTTGTATTAGCTATTTCATGTAAATGCTCATTATAACTGGATAACATAGTCATTAATTAATAGGAAAACTAAACTATACTTGGTAGAGAGTTTAACTCTAGGTGATATACATATCAGATTTCTTGCATGCTCAATCATGTTGTATATGTGTGTGTGTGTATGTGTGTGTGTATACATACACATATGCTTCTTTCTTCTATCAAGGGAAAAATTCAATTGGAAGGTGTACTTCACCTTCTCAAGAAAGAAGGAATTGAACCTCATGCTACTACAGAAGAACTCTATTTTGTCTGGAGCTTATTCAAGCACAGTGAGGACAGGCTGAGGATTGCTACCAGAAATCTAGAAGGGCTTTCAATGAAGGACATGGAAGAAATGAAAGAAGTAAGAGCTAATAACATAAAATTTTAAGACACCAGTGATTTTGTTCATTGTCCGTTAAATTAACACATTAAAAAACTAACATTTGAATATCACTTTATAGTTTGCAAAGCACTCCCGTGTACATTTTTGAGTGTGTGAAATGTAGCAACACTCTTTATTTGTTTCTAACAGAGCACATATACAGGATGTTGCCCAGAGTTGACTGGTTGACCATCAACCAGTGGTGGCTTTCATTATCTTGGTAAATTCCTCTTTGTCCCAATAACAGACATTCTGGCTCTCTTGGTTGTTGGCTTAGAAACTTGAGGGGATCTACTTCTCAAGGTGGGCTTATATTAACTAAACTCACAGAGAAGTTTCTAGAAAAAGAGACACCAGCTTATTAATTGACAATTAGAAGTATAATTGCCAGAGGAACTAGTCAAATATGTCCTGTAGCTGCTGCATTCGCTCCCTACTGGCACACTACATGGGAAGCCAAATTTTAATCATATGTTTACTTGGTGAACAAATGATTCTAAATTTTTATAGTACTAGCTAAGATAGATTTACACGATAGGGCTATCTATACTTGCCCTTATTTCTGGACCAGGGTATCTAGCCCTTAGATGAGTAAATAATGGCATCTTTTGACTCTCTTATCACTCTTTGATGTTTCCAGTACTAATCTATGTACCTTCTGACAGATTCTTTCTCTAAGTGAGTTAATTCTCTCAGGTTGCTTAGAAAGCCCCCTGCTATGTTTCCATATCTCAGTTCAGATAGGCAACTTGTTGATTTTTAAATTTAACTCTGAGAGGACAATCTGTTTCCCAAACTCCTAAAGAAGAATGTAGCTCCTTCAGAACAAAAGCAGTATAGCATAATAGATTATGAACTTCAACATTCGGCAAATGGTGAAAAATTGCCTTTAGCACTGTCTCTCTATGTTACCTTGGGCAAGTAACTTAACTTCTTTGAGCTTGAAATTCCTAATCTGTAAGATGAGAACGATAATAATTTATTCCAAGGGATTTGTAAGGTTTACACAAGAGAATATGTATAAAACATTTCACAGACATACTTTACACCTAAAAAGTATTCCATGAATTGTAGCTATTATTATTAGGTATTATTCTTCCTGCCATTTTAAAAAGAAAGAAACTGAAGCTTACTAGGAAATTATAAAGTTAGACTGCAGTTCTGTGTTCTTTCTATACCATTCACTTTTGTTCATATTCTGAGGAGTTGTCCAATAGGCTTCAAAACAATCCAGCAAAATATAATTCAGTTATTCTGGATTTCATGTTGGGTGGGAGAAAAACAGAAAAATCACTCTGGCCACAGTAGAAGGATAGATTGGATAGGGGCCAGATTGGAAGCAAGGATTTCAGGAGAAGTTATATAATAATTAATTAAAGGATGAGAACCAAAAACAAGGCTCGGAGTGTAAGTAGAGAAGGAAAGATGAACTAAGGAGTTATTACAGAGGCGGAATCTATAAAACAAATTGGATGTGGTTGGAGTAAAGTCTTGAATGACTCTAAGACTATCTACCCCATCATTCTTAGGTCATAGTTTCCCCATTAAAAAAGAAAGAATTAAAACATACTCCAAAGGTTTTTTGTTATTATAAAATGTTATTATAACGTACAACGTAAAAACTTCATTGCTTTCCTAGTTATATTTTGCATAGGCTAATGTGGAATCAACCTGTGTATAAAGTAGATGAGAGAGTCATTCTAACCAAAATGGAGCCACATATGATGACTTGGAAGCCCAAGGAATTTTGCAAGACCTGATCTATATACTAATTATATTTTACTTAACATTTGTTCTTATTTTGTTGTTTTTTTCTAACTTAGCACAAGCATATTATAACAAAAATTCAAGCAGTATAAAATTGAATGAAAAATGAGATATCTTCTCACCCCAAATCTTCAGTTTCATACTCTTAAGCTATCACTGCCAACAATTTTTTTATCCTTCTAGAAAATTTCCATCTATTCAAAATATGAATTGTACTCCATTATGCATATTGTTTTCACTTTCTATAGTAGTGCATATAGATTTGCCATATTCTTATTTGATAACTTGTGTATTCTGTTGAATGGATTATCAATATTTATTTAACCACTTTATTGTTGGATGGTAGAGAACAAAAGGATAACATTTAATGCCAGAAACAAAGATTTTTTTTAAAACATTTTATTGTGGACTATAATGTGTATGCAAAAACAAGGTAAAACTTAAAAAGTAGTTTTACAAATAGTTATAGAGCAAATACCCATGTAACCAATGGTCCTGTCAAGAATATAATATTGCTCACCCTGTAGAAGCTTCCTTTGTACACCTTTCTGTTCACAGCCCCCTTTTCCCCATGAAGGGACGCATCCCTAAATAATATATCCAGTGCTAGTTTTGCCTGTTTTGGAACATTATATACAAGGAATCAACTTTGGGAATTACTTTTTTTGTAAAACACGTTTCTTTCCATTTTGTTTATTTTTTGAGTATTAATTGACGTACATAATATTAATTTCAGGTGTATAACAATGATTCAATATTTGTATATATTGCAAAATGATCACCACATTAAATCTAGTTAAACATCTGTCTCCATACATAGTTACATAATTTTTTTCTTGCGATGAGAACTTTTAAGATCTACTGTCTTAGCAACTTTCAAGTATGCAATACAGCGTTACAACTCTAGCCGTCACACTGTACATTTCATCCCTATGATTTATTTTATAACTGGAAGTTGATACCTTTTGCCTTCCTTCTCCTATTATAGCTTGTCATTGCTGTGTATTATTCTATTGTGTGAATATATGGCACAACATTATCCATTCTATGTTGATTTGGATTGTTTTCAATTTATATCTATTATGAACATATTATAATCTATCAATTATGCTGCTATGAATAATCTTATATCTGTATCACGGCGCATGCATTTGTATAGGGTATATACTGTGGAGTAGATTTAGGGTATTAGAGAGTATGTAGATCTTCATGTTTACCAGATAATGTCAAACTGTCTTCTTAAGTAGTTGTATCAATTTACACTGGCACCAATAGTGTATAATAGAGTAACTTTGCTCATTATCAGCACTTGATATTGTCAGACTTTTAAATTTTTGCTAAACTGTTGGTGTGCATAATGATTTCTCATCTTGGTTTTAATTAGCATTTCCCTGATTACTAATGGAGTTAATATGATTTTGGTTAGTTGGATTTCCTATTTTGTTAGTACCAGTTTAAGTCTTTTGTCCATTATTAAATAGAGTTGTCTGTTTTTTTCTTACTGATTTCTAGGAATTCTCTATATATTTTGGTTTCAAGTCTTTTGCCAGTTATGTGTATCACAAATACTTTTTTCCACCTACTCTGTGGCTTGTGTTTTTAACATCCTTAATAGTGTCTTTTAATGAATGAAAGTTCTTAAATATAATAAAGTCCAATTTATCAATAGTTTCTTTTACAGTTAGTGTTTTCTTTCCTGTTTAAGAAATCCTTGCCTTCTGGGAATTTGAGTTTTGGTTGCCCTGAATCTATAAATCAGTTTGAGAGGAATCGACTATCTTAAAATATTGATGTGATCCGTGATCATGGAGTATTTGTCTATTTATATTTTAATGTATACAAATAAAGTTTTATAATTTTCTCACAAAATCTTGCACATTTTTTGTTACATGTATTCCTAGGTACTTCATATTTTGGGATGCAGAATTTAATTTTCTAATTATCTGCTGCTGATACTTAAAAGTATCATTATTTTCATGTATTGACCTAACATCTAATATCTAGCAATCTTGCTAAAATCTTTCATTCATTTTAATAATTTATTTGAAGGTATAAAATTCTTCTACCTGCATAATCATATTATCTGAGAATAATGATACTTTTGTTTCTTTCTTTCCAGTCCTTATTCCTTTTCATTCTTTTTTCTTGCCTTACTGTACTAGCTAGAATCTTTAGTGTTATCTCAAATAGCAGACATACTTGTCCTATTATTGATATTGGAGAGAAAGTATTCAGCAATTTGCTATTAAATATATGAGGTTTTTGTTTTTAACAACACCCTTTATCGGATTAATAAAGTTTTCTTTTATTCCTCCTTTGGGAAGAGTTTTTATTAGGAACTAATGTTAAGTTTTACAAAATGTTTTTTCTATAGCCATTGAGATTATGAAATAATTTAGAACTTTAATCTGTTAATGTGAGAATTTCATTGATTAATTTTTCTGTTAAACCAATCTTGCATTCCTGAGATGAATCTAACTCGTTTATGGTTATTCTTTCTAAATATTACTAGATTACATTTGACAAAATTTTCTTTAAGGTTTTTACAGCTGTGTTTATGAGTAAGATTAATTGTGATTTTTCTTGTTTGTATTATCTTTATCAGAGTATAATATCAATGTGTTATACTATGTAAAACAGAGTATAATATCAATGTGTTATACTATGTATTCTTTTACATAGTTATGATTATAACTATGTAAAAAATGTATATGAATAAAAAATACTGCAAGGAAATATAACCAGTATTAGCCAAACCCTTTCATTATTGCCCCCTAACAAGACTTTTCAGATAATTTTTCCTAATCACGCTCTCATGAAAATTCAATACTACAGATATGATGTATTTCAGTCTGTGTACTGTAGGCAATTTGTGTTTTAAACATAAAAAGAGTAAGATTTTTTGCTCCTTCCCCCTGCTCCCACTAACAAATTTTTGCTACCTTGGGAGTGATTTTGTCTCATTGAGAATGCATTGTCTAGCCTCAAAAATGGTTTGGACAGTACTCTCTCTTTTTCTAAGTGGTTGCTTTTTCTATTTAAATGACATTTTTTTCATGAAGACTGAATAATATATGAAAGTATTTTGTTTGAATATATTAAAATGTATATATTCACGCTGTAAAACTTATCAAATTATACATAAAAGTACAAGCACATCACAAACATTTGGGAAGGAAAAAAATCAATTACTCATTTAATGCAATGGCTGATTTTTAGTGAATATATCAAATTTATATTATATATATTATATTATATATATGTTATATATTCTTTGAAAAATTACCTTGGGGTAGTATATACTTCTTTCCAAGTATGTTTGGAGCTCCTCTTTTGGAGAGTCCTTTAAAATGTAAACCATATTATTTTAAATATACTCAATTTTCATGGAATTTAATTTTTTGATCTGGGAAAATGTTATTAAGAGCTAAATCTGGTGAATGAAGTATATACTGGGAATTTAACCATGGGAAGTAACCCAGATGAGAAAAAAATACACATATGGGTGAAACTGTGTATCATAGTATTATTTTTAATAGCAAAAATTGGAAACTACCAAATGTTTAAATGATTATATAAATTATGTTATGCCCACTCTGGAACATTATACAGCCTTTAAAAATTATCATTACAAAATCTGTACAACAATGTGGAAACGTGTTTCTCATATAATGTTAAGTGAAAAAGCCTGACAGGTACTTATATATAGATTACGATTATAACTATGTAAAAAATGTATATGAATAAAAAATACTGCAAGGAAATATACCAGTGTACTAAAAGTGGTTTTGCTATATAGATGGTAATTTGCTTATTTTCTTGTCTTTTAGAAAAATTTGTAAAATTAATACATATTTTGGGGATCAAAAGCAAAATATAATTGAGACTGAATTTCTTCCTTAGCTTTTAAATTATTTTTAAAATAATTGCAGAAAAGGAACTCTAAAATAGTTTGATCCCTGTTCAATGTGTTCACATCTTGAAATTAAATGAAATACTTTATGTGAAAGCATTTTACAAACTGTATTTAATGTTCCATATAAATGAGGAATTTTTTTTGCCAAATGATATTCATTTTGATGGTTAAATTTCTATTTTTTAAATAATCATAACTATATTCTTTTAAATAGATTGAATCATATGAAATTATATATTTGTAAGTCAGAAATAATCAAATATCACCAATTTTATATGGTTCAACCTAATAAAATAAATGCACATAAATGAAATACTCTGCTACTTTTCTTTATTGGATTTCAAACACTTACAGGAAATAGTGCAATGATATAAGAGTACGTTTACTTTTTATTTTATGACGACTATGTTTTATTTCAGTCTCACGATGAAGACCTGGAAAAAGATAAAACATCACAAAACTGCCTTCAGAGAGATGTGGAACAAGTAGTAAAGAGGTTAGGGATGGCCCATGAAGAGATCCAAAGACTCACTGATGAATTACAAAGAAAGGAGAAAGAACAGAGTAAATTAGGTAAGCTTTGATTACAGATAAATGTTTCTGACTATTCGTTCTGACTATTTTCTCAGAGTATAACATTGAAAAAAAATAATCTTTTAAGAAACACATAAAAGTCTCACAAATAGCCTTATTTTCTTCAGTGTCCAGAAATTTTTATTGAAGCATAAGCAAAATATACCCACACAACTCCTAAATATACACTACCCAGCAAGAAATTCCCAGCACCCCAGAAGCTCCCTTCATTCCTTCTCCCTATGTCTACACCCTTTCTCCTCTCCAAAAATAACCACTATCCTGACTTTCAACATTATTCCTGAGTTTTGACTACAGGCAGTATGCATTCTTTAGTTTATTTCTCTTCTTCAACTTTATGTTTGTGAGATTCAGTCATGTTGTTGCCTGTAACAACAGTTGGTTGGTTCACTTTTGCCGTTTGTAAATTATTCCATTGAATAAACATACTATATTTTATTCTTTATACTGTTGACAGACATTTATATTGTTTCCAGGTGTGGTCTATTATGAATTGTGCTGCTGTGGATATTCTTGTACTTATTTACATATTTCTGACTGTGATATACCTAAGGGTAGAATTATTGGATCAAAGGGTTCTGAATACGTTTTACTTTGGTAGGTTACTGCCATACTGTTTTTCAAATAGTTGTATTAATTTAAGCTCTTAGTTGTATATGAGATTTTGTTTGCTCCACATTCTTTGTCAGTACTTGGTATTGTCAGTCTTATTAACTTTACCCTTTTGGGTGAGTGTGTAGTGGTATTTAATTGTGGTTTTTATTTGTATTTCCCTGATGGCTAAAGAAGTTGAAAACCCTTCCATATGTTGGCTGTTGTTGCTCATTTGGAGATACTATTCTGTGAAGTTCCTGCTCAATCTCATTTTTGTTTTCTATTGGTTTGCATGTTTATGTTTTATTAATTTATAGGGGCCGTTTCTATATTTTGGATGTGACCATTGCATTGGTTATAATGCGATGTTGGTTTTTTTTGACATAAACACTAATATATATCAAGTCAGGTTTAACAGAGTTATTCTTTATAGCTTCTAGGTTTTCATGTGTAAAGCCTTTTCTACATCACTACAACATTATTGAAAATATTCACTGCTGGTTTATTTCAGTGCTTTTATGATTTATTGTTTATATTTCAATCTTTGCTTTATCTATAATTTATTTTAGTATAAAGTTTAAAAATGTTTAAATAAGTATTATTTTATACACTTTATGTTTATATGTATAAAATAATAATGATTCTGCCAATCATTAAAAACAAAAAATATCAGGAGCCTTGAGAGTTTGTTAAGAATGCATTTTAAACAGTGAATACAAATAAAATTTTTAGAAAGTAGAATTATTCTATATCCTAATTGCGTTGGTGGGTACACAATTGTATATATTTGTCAAAATTCATCAAACCGTACATTTAAAAGGGTGAATTTTACTATATGCAAATTATACCTCAGTAAACCCAGATTTTTAAAAAAGAAATTTGGCTATATGAGTATGATGAGAAGCAGTCTTTGCTGCTTTCAATAAAGAAGGAAAAAGGAAAAGCAGGACACCTATTACATAGTTACATTTGGACATAACAGAACACAATCACATGGCACTCTGTTCCATCAGCAGTTGGTTGGTCTAGTAGATCCTAAGTTATTCACTGAAAGCTGTCTCCACAGTGAGTAAACTGGGGACTTTTGGGAAGCTGAATTTGCAAGTCCTTTTAAACTATCATATGCAATATCAATGTGTACTCTATGTGTAACTTCTTGAGTCATCAATTTATAGCCAGAATTAATTTCTAGGTATATGTTTTTCATGACAGTGTTTCCCAAGTATTAGCCTACTTCTTTCAACCAACTGACTCTTTTAAATGAAGGGGGCTTTATTTTAGTTAATTCACTAGTTCTATCTATATCACATCCAAAAATCTGGATGGAATGAAAAGTTTTGGAAACAATAAAACTTTTTCAAGAATAAAAATAATTTATGTTAAATATTTATTATTCAATAAATAAATTGTAAGAAAAAGAGGAATTTTAAAAGTTTTAAAGGATTTATTAACCAAATATAATGTGTGGCCTTTACTGGATTTTGTTTTAAACAAATTTATGAATCATTGGAAGTTTGAATACTTATTGGATATTTATTGTTAAATTTCCTTAACCATACATAATGACACTGAGCTTATATTTAAAATGAGTCTTTGTCTTTTAAAGATAGATAGTTAAATATTTAAAGATGAGTGATATGATGTCTGGGATTTACTTCAAAATAATACAGCCCCCTACCTCACACTTAAATAAAAATTAACTCAAAATGGACCATGGAGCTAAATGCAAGACTTACACCTATAAAACTGTTAGAAGATAACTTAGGAGTAAATCTTCATGCCTTTGGGTTAGGCAATGATATATGTTAGCTACAACACCAAAAGCAAAAGTGATGAGAGAAAAACTAATAAATTGGACTTAAAATCAAAAACTTCTGTATTTTTAAGAAAGTGAAGACAGTCCATGAACTGGGAGAAAATATTTATAAATCATATATTTGATATAGGACTTATATCCAGAATACGTAAAGAATTCTTATGTATTTTGTGTTATTATAAGAATTATTTTATATTATTATAAAAAGACTGCCCAATTTAAAAATGAATGAAATATTTGAGTAGACATTTCTTTGGAGAAGATATATGAATGGCCAGTAGGCACAAGAAAAGATGCTCAATATCATTAGTCATTAGGGGAGTGAAAGTTAAAACTACAATGAGATTCTACTTTACAACCACTACTATTACCACTTGACATTCATGGCTATAATAAAAAAGATAATAACAAGGTTGGCAAGGATGTGGAGAAATTGGAACCCTTATAACTAGCTGATGGGAATGTAAAATGGTGAAGATATCTCAAAGATATTTAATGTATGACCCAACAGTTCCACTCCTAAGTATCTACCCGTGAGAAGTAAAAACATATGTCCACAAAAAGACTAGTGTGTGTATATTCAGAGCACTATCATTTATAATAGCCAAAAGGTAGGAACAACCCTAAAGTCTCAGTTGGTGAGTGGTTAAACAAAATCTGGTATATCCATTCTGTGGAGGAAATAGTTAACATAGAAGACCTGACACTGCTATCTTTAGAAAGTCCTGCTTATAAGGTTAGCCTTTGGCTAGCATCTGGGAACTTGGATTACAGAAACATTCCCACCATACCCTAACTTATAATAGTGGTTCACCGTGCCTAAGCTGTTTATACAAACAATGTGGTTTTTGCTGAAAACCTGGTTTCCTTCTGAGAGCCTGGAATTTTGGTATGTCCTAGGCAGAAGATGGTGTACATGTGACCAGCCCCCATTAAAAACTTTGGGCACTGAGTCTATAATGAACTTCTCTTGCAGACAACATTTCACATGTATTGTCAATTTGTTGCTAGAGAAATTAAGCACATCCTGTGTGATCCACTGGGAGAAGTCTCTTGGAAGTTTGTGCCTGATTTCTTCTGGATATTGCCCCATGTTAGGAATGACCGCTTATAAGATTCATGGTAGTCTCTTACGTCTGGGAGTTTCCTCATCTTGACAGTATAGGAAGACCACCAGCCATATCACTGGTAATGAGTAGACCACAAGAGGCAAAATAATAAAAATTCGATTAAAGAACTCAAATCCAATTGACTCAGATGCATATATATATGCATCTATATGTATAGGGTAGCGTTGGCAAAAAGCTCTCTGGTGACGTCCATTTTGAGCCATGACATCCTCATACAATTATTGACTAGTATACCAAAACCTATTTCCTGAAATTTTGCTATTTAGATATTTCTAGCAGCTACTGATAAAATTTTAAATATTCTTAATTGCAGGAATTAATTTTAAGTATTTCTGGGTGTAATTTCTTTTTACTAAACTGGTAGTACTGTGCTTAAAAACTTCTGTTTTTTGTAGTGGTCCGAACTATTCAGCATAGAATCTGGTTAGGGAAACAGAAAGATTACAAGAAAGATTACGAGGTTAGATGATCAGAGATAGGGATAAATGTAGGGTACAGTAGGAACACTAAGAGGGAAGTCTGGAAGAGCTTTCTGGAGAAGGTGACATTTATATAGAAATTCAAAAGATAGGCATCAGAAAGAAAATTTTCTAAAAATAGAGTCATTTTAAATTTGATTATTACAGTAGTCATTTACTCCTTATTCAAATCTTTTTTCTTTTAGATTCTGCACTTAAGAAGGCTCAACTAGAAATTGAAGAATTGAAAGAAAATTTGACAAAGCTGAGAGAAAATGGTGAGTCATTTTAGCAGATATAATATTTAATAATACATTAAACAATCATATAACATTAAATGATGTTTTAAAATAATATTATTTAACAATTATAATAATAGTACTTTTAGAGCTATTATGATTTCTATTACTATTACTATTACTACCACTTGTTGCTCACTAAGTAACAGGTACTCTGCCAGGCATTTTACATACATTAGCTCTAATCACAATAATTTCAAATAATGAGTATTATTATTACAATTACATAGATAAAGAAACAGTCATGGCAAGGTTAAGTGAATTAGCCACTAGCTACACTAAGTACTAGAGCTTGTATGTGAACTCATATATGTCTAATCTAAAACCTGTGGCCAACACAAATAATACATGTTTTACTGGAACAGCTGAAGTCAACACACTTTATAATGCATTTGACCACACCTCACATCTATTTGTTTCTCGGAGAAGCCAATAGATTTAGAATTAGTGATGATTTAGTTAATCTGACCCTAATTTGACTATGTAAAAATGCTACCAGCTATAATTAATATAATGAAATTTGAGTGTTGTAATGTAACAACTACAAAAATTTTAAATATGCTTACTAGTTTTAAATAATTCTAAAACTAGTCTTCCCCTATGATATTATGATTTAAAATAGGAAATGTATATTTCATCAATGTCCACATTTCCAGCACAGGAGCTGCTAAACCTTTGCCATTTTCTAAGCAATGAGAAGGATAAAGGCATCTTTTGTTATGTTAACGAGGACTTTTGGAGAGATCCTAGGTAGTCAAAGGTTGGAAAGTGGTTACTAGGGGAGTCAACCAAATGTGTGATTAGAAAGTTGGAACTTTAGGTCCACGCCCCCTGCCCTCATCCACTCCTCTTTTCACCCCCAAACTTTCCCCTCATCTACTGAAAAAGCAGAGGGGTTGGAAATTGAGTTCAATCACCAATGGCCAATGATTTAGTCAGTTGTACCTATGTTATGAAGCCTCCACAAAAACCCAAAAGAGAAGGGTTCGGAGAGCTTCTAGGTTGGTGAACATGTAGAGATTTGGGGAGAGTGGTGCTCTCAGGGAGAGCATGGAAGTTCTGCACCCCTTTCCCCATATCTTGCCCCTATGCATCTCTTCCTTTCGGCTATTCCTGAATTATATCCTTTTATAATAAACCAATTATCTAGTAACTGGGACTTGTGGTTCTGAGTCCTTAACCTGTGGAATCTGATACTATTTCTGGGTAGATAGTATCAGAATTGAGTTGAATTATAGAGCACCCAGCTGGTATCTGAGAATTGATTAGATATGTGGGGGTAAACCCACACACATTGTAATTGTTAATCCTCCTTTTAAAAAATATATGAATGCAATTCTAAAATAAACACTGCTTTCTTTGTAATTGATAGAGCAAGTAAACGAAATCAGTAAGGATATAAAAAACCGAATAACACTGCCAACCAACATAATCTAATTGATAATTACAGAAAACCACCAGAATATTATATTCTTTTCAACTACAGATGGAACTTTCAGAAAGAAGGACCATCCTGGGTCATAAAGCAAATTTATGCAGAAGAACCGAAATACAGATTATGTTCTCTGACCATAATAGAATTAAACTAAAAAGGAATAACAAAAGTATGTTTAGAATGTCTCAAAATATTTGGAAATTAAACAAGATATTTCTAAATTGCAAAGCCTTTGGAGAAAAAATTAATAGGGATTATAGAAAATATTTTATGAATTAATTTGAATAAAAATGAAAACACAATATTGATATTTGTGGGATGCAACTAAGTTAGTGCTTAGAGAGAATTTTATGCCATTCTGTGCTTATACCAGAAATCAAGAAAAAGGACTCAAGAATCTAAGCTTCTACCTTAAACACCGAGAATGAAAGCAAATTAAATCCAAAGCAAGCAAAAAGGAGATAATAAAAAAATATATAGAAGTCAAAAAAATTAAAAACAGAACATTAAGAGTAAATTAGTGGAAGCAAAAGCTGGTTCTTTGCAAGGGTCAATAACGTTGGTAAACTTCCAACTAGATTGTTCACGAAAAAATAAGAGAAGACACAAATTACCAATATAAGAAATGATAGAGAACATTTCTACAGATCAAAAGGATAATAAGGGAATATTTTGAACAACTTTATCACAATAAATTTGATGACATGGATGAGATGGATTCATACCTTGAAAGGCACAAACTACCAAATCTCACTCAAGGAGAAATAGATAACCCTAAGTCTACCAAGGGATTGAATTTTTAGTTAAAAATCTTTTCATAAAGAAAACTCTAGGCTCAGATGGCTTCACTGGTGAATTCTAAAACACTTTTAAGAAATAAATAATACTGATTTTACATAAACTCTTCCAGAAAATTGAAGAAGAGAGAATACTTCCCAACTGATTTTAGTGACCTATTTAAAATAGTCCATATTCAACTGTATTTTTAAGATTTGTGAAAATTAAATATACCAATAACATCCAGTATGGAGAAAGGGTCAGTGTCATTGTTTTATTCAATGTCATTTTGTTTTAATATTGATGAGGAAAAAAATAATGACTCCAGCCAGAGACACCATCTGTGTGGAGTTTGCACGTTCTCCCATATCTGCATGAGTTTTTCCTGGGTACTCCAGTTTCCTCCCACACCACAAAGATGTACAGTGAGATGAATTAGCATGTCTAAACTGCCCCAGTCTGAGCGAGTGTGGGTGTGTGTGTGAGTGGCGCTGCAACTGAAGGGCATCCTGTCCAGGGTGGGTTCCTGCTTTGCGCCCTGAGTAGCGGTGACTGGCACAGGCCACCCTCAACCCTAAACTTGAATAAGCAGGTTGGAAAAGAATCATATTGTTTTTATTAATCTTTCTTAAATGTATATACAATTCACATTTATTTCAGCGTTTAATGTTAAAAACATTTTGGGTCTTTATTTAGAAGTTTGGTGATGTTTTTGTGACCGGAAATATGCCATAGGAACTTCACTCTTGTTTATGTCAATTATCCTATGGTAAAATTGGCTTCATGATATATTGTTTCACTTAAAGTCACATTTTCCAAGAACCTATCAATGATGTCAAGTTAGGACTTTCCGTACAACCTTTTTGAAGAATAATTTGGCAGTGTCTATTAAATTTTTTAAATGCACAGGTGCTCTGATCCAGCTGTCCCATTTCTGGGCCTTATTTATTTATTTACTTTGGAAATAATGCCATAAGCACCTAAAGATTAATGAACAAATATAATGATTTTGGAATTGTTTATAAGAGTAAACATTGTCAACAAACCTAATTCTTCATTAGTAGGGGAAAAACAACACAAATAATGGCACATTTGGACATACTATGCAGAACAAAATGAGAGAATAGATAAACAAATTGTGATACGTTAATAAGATGGACTAAAGGATAGAGAGGATCAAAGTATTGATACAACACAGATGAATCCAAAAACTATATATATTGAGAGAAATAAACCAGACACAAAAAAACATGTATATTGTAAGAGTTCATTTATATGAAAACCAAGAACAAGCAAAACCAACCTATGGTGATAGAAGTGATAAAGAAATGGTTGTGAGAGAAAGTGGGAGTGGAGAACTGACTGAAAAAGATGTGAGGGAGCTTTATGGGGTGATGGAAATGTTCTATATCTTTTTTGGAGGGAAGTTCGCAGATATATAAAATTGTCAAAGTTCATTGATTTGAATGAATACTTAAGATATGTACATTATGTTATATATAAATTAAACCTCCATTATAAAATAGTTCCAAATACAAAATGGAAAATGACTTTATAAAGATTATCCGGTCACGATATTCATGATATATTTGCAACTCGTAAAGTTGCAGACAATAACATTGCAGACAGTATAACATTTAAATTTTTTTAATTGCATAGGCCAAAATAGAACAAATCATATATAAATGGATTGTGAATATATCTTATTTATGTTATACATATATTATATATGTTTTATATATATTGATTATAAATAATTTAATTTCTTTTTGATGTTTTCAGCATTTAGTATGTATGTAAATTTTAAAAAAATTACATACTAAGAAGGAAAAAGAGTGTAGCAAGGGAGAAAAAAATGAAGAAAGAAAAAATTAATACAAGTTAAATACAAAACAGGCAATGAAGAAGGAAAACAAAAAGACTTTAAAGCAGCAAAAGAAAAATAAGGGAAACATACCTGAAAAATGGCTAACAGGAAACCACTACAAATTCAGGAAAGTTACAGGCAGCAAGTGTGTGTTATTGAAACTTTGATGAGTGCAAGAAGGAGCAAGTCTTAACATGAAGTGCTAAGCTGAGAGTGGGCTACCATTTTCATGGCAGTGGCGCTACACGCAGAAAGATGGCTTTGATGAATTAACTTGATTTAACTTGGAAAATCTGTCCATTCACTGCTCCTAGCTCACTACTTCAGTCATCTATGGGGGCCTTGCTGTTATGAGTTGAAAAGAAGTATCTATGAGTATATGAGCTGTTTAAGAGACAAGACGACAAGGAAGCCAGGAAGATCGTTGTCTGTCATTTAACTTTTAGAAGGTAGGCTCAATCATTTTAAAATTCCAGGTCCTGGAAGAACCTCTATTGCTGGAAACCCCACACTCAAAAATTCCAATTTATTAGTCTTGATGTGAGAAATAAAAAACATTCTGTTGTTTCATTAGGTTGGTAGAATATTCCAGGGCTGGACTTGACAGTCTAGTGGCACTCTTGTGCAGAGAATCACATATGCAGAGACATGACAAGAAGGGCAGGAAATAGCACTTTCTTCAGTTTTAGAGTTAGTACTCCCAAATTAAAACTTTGATCCCATTGAGTAGACTGAGTTCTTCTCTCTGTTTTAGATTCAGTTGACCTAAAGAAAGCAAAGGAACACAATCAAAGACTAGATGAGGAAATCCTGGCTTTAAGAAATCGGGTTCGATCACTTAACTCAGAAAAAAAAGTGTTTGGAGAAGTGGTAAGTATTTAATTTAGTTTGTTCATTGAATTTATTTAAATGTGTACAGAATAACAATCAACAGTGGAGCAACATAGATATATGTCACCTATTGGTCATTAGTGAGGACGGAGACTGGTGGATCTAGCATCCCAGGAAGATGCATACTTTAACCTGAATGCATTCTATCAGTATTTATATATTATACATCCTAATTATCTATGCTGAACAGTAATCTTGTTGCTATTGTGGCAATTTAGGATTTTTCTTTTTAATAATGATTTAGATAATAGTTTATACTTAACACATTTACCAAATAGAAATTATTACTCTATTATATTGGATAAGTTTGAGATTATTAATACTACACCCTTAGTTGCATTACATTTTTAAACTATTTCTCCTTAGCAATTTATTGGTTTTTAATATATACTTTCAAGTTCTGGATATATATCTCTTCAATTTTAGTTTACATTCATTTCACAGTAATATCTCTAGTGTCTGTAACACAAGGCCTGGCATATACCAAGTGCTCAAGAAATTTTGTTGCAAGAATAAATAAATACCCATTAGGATGGCTGTGATCAAAACAACAAAAAATAACAAATGTTAATGAGGATATGGAGAAATTAGAACCTTTGTACATTATTGATGAGAATGTACAAGGGGGAAGCCACAGTGGAAAACAATGTGGTACTTTCTAAACATAGAATTGCCATACAATCCAGCAATTCTGCTTCTGGGTATATAGCCAAAAGAATTGAAAGCAGGGACTTTATCAAATATTTGTACACTTATGTTCATAACATTGTTATTCACAATAGCTAAAAGGTTGAAGCAACCCAAGTTTCTATTGACAGATGAATGGATAAACAAAATGTGGTATATACATACAATGGAATATTGTTTATCTTTAAAAAGGGAGTTCTGACATATGTTACAACATAGACAAACCTTGAAAATATGCTAAATGAAATAAGCAAGTCACAAAAAAGACAAATAGTGTATGATTTCAGTTATTTGAGGTACTTAGGGTAGTCAAAATAGAATGGTGGTTTCTAAGGGCTAGGGGGAAGGGCAGGATGAAAAGCTATTGTCTAATGAGTTTAGAGTTTCAGTTTTGCAAGATGAAAAGAATTCTGGAGATGGATGATGATGATGGTTTCATAATTGAATATGTTTAATGCTACTAAGCTGTATACTTAAAAATGGTTAACATGGTAAATTTTATGCTCCATATATTTTATCATAATTTAAAACTGCAATCAAGTTGTCTTTATAAATTTACATATCTAATACTGATATATATTTATATGTGTATGTGAGATAAACTTCAGGAAAGGTATATCGCAAAAAGTATTACTTCTGAAAAGAGGAAAGAGATTGTGGGATAAGGTTATGTGAAAGAAAATATTAATTCTGTGTTGTCTGAATTTTCTACATGAAGAATATGTTCATGCATTAGTTGTATATTTTAAAAACAAAGAAGCTCCCCACTTCCAACTTTTGTATTTTAGGTTGAAAGACTTAAAGGAGACATTTGTGAATCTCAAGAGAATAAGCAACTTGGAAACCACTCCCCTGGGAAAACTGTGGATGATGAACAGAAAGCACAGGTATTTTTATGTTCTTTTGTTTTCTGATTTCTAATTTTTAAGGGAGTCACATTTTTACAGTGCACCAGAGCAATTGATGCTGATCATTGGCTCTCTTCTTATTGCCTGTCTTTTTCTATTGCTCAGCCAGTTAGAATGGAGGAAGAAATTGGGGCAAAGAGGATGTGTATCTATTCACTTCTGCCACTTAGGGAACAATGAATATGAAGAATATAAAGGATTGTTTCTTTAAAGACAAAGAGACTCTTACAACGATGCAACCAATTTGGGTATTTTTAATCATCAAAATAGAATTGATTTGTAGAAACGACCAATGGTGAGGGAATGGGGAGTTGGAACCACACTGAACTTAGTAAAATATCGTAGAGAATACATTAGGATCCAGTGCGTACAGTGTCTAGTCTTTTCAGCATGATCGGCCTCTGAAGTGGTAGGCAAAGTGATCTAACTAAAGACAAATTGAAACAAGAACCAATGTGTTTTAGATAAGGCTGTTTCAGACATTCAGGCCAAGGAGCTAGACTGCTTTGGGGCATCCTTTCTTCTGACAAAACTAAAATGAGTGATATCCCTTGTTTCTGAGGGATATTATTCACCAGAGCTCTCCCACTACCCCGACCAAGGACAATAGCATTTATTACATATAAGCAACAGGCATTTTTATTATATGAAGAGCTAACACCAATTAGCAAGGATAAGGTAAACAACCCAAGTAGCAAATGAGGAAAGAGTATGCACAGCAATTCTCAAAACAATATAAAAGCCCAATAAACATATTTAATACTTTGAACCTCATTATTTGTCAATGTTTTTATTGTAACTCCCTGGGCCATATATCCCAGACCTCTTAGGTATCAGGAAAATTAAAGCCATAGGATTTCTTGGCTCCCTAGCAAAGGAACTAGTATCCTTTCTGTCTTCTAAAACCTTCTTGCAGGCAAATAGTGCATTTTTGTAGAGAGAGAGAGAGGAAGGGAAGGAAGGAGGGAGGGAGAGAAGGAGAGAAGGAATTTCCAGGTAGGACTTCAGTAACTTTTACCAAAATTATTCCCAAAGAACCCAATGTTGCTATAATTTAAAGCAAGTTGATTTATTGGTGACCATTTTTATTAGTTTCTTATTTATCCTTCCAGTATTTCTTTATTCAAATACAAGCAATTTGAGTATTATTCAGATTTCCTCCTTTCTTAGTTTCTCTTTTTTTTACTGAAATGCTCCTGGAAATCCTTCCATATCATAAAAAGGTATCTTTCTTATTCTTTAGAGCAGTCTAGCATTCTGTTGTGGGGATGTACTATAATTTATTTAACCAGTCCTCTGTTGATGAACCCTTGGGTTGTTTCCAGTCCTTTGCATATATAGAGAGGTGTTTCAGTAAGATAGAGTCACAGAAATGGGATATTGTGGTTAGAGGGTAGATACATTGGTAATTTTGGTAGATATTGCCATATACTACTCAGTAGATATTGTACCATTTCTGGATACAGAAATGCCAGTTTCCTAAAAAATTCACCAACTGAATACATTGTCAAACTTTTGTATTTTTACTAAATGATAGGTGAGAATGCGTATTTCAGTGTAGTGTTAATTTTTATTTATTTATAGTGAGATTGAGCATTTTTCATGTTTAAAAGTCATTTGTATTTCTTTTATAAAATTAATTTTATTGAAATATTTAATACAACATAAACATATGTGTTTTAAGAGTTGTGCTCAATAAGTTTTGACAAATGCATACGTATATATAACCACAAAGCACTGCAATCAAGAAAGAAAACATATCCATTAGCCTAAAACGTTCCCTCACACTTTGCTATCAATCCCCCAACTTCACTTTCTATTACCATATGTTGTCTAGAACTTCAAATAAATGGAATCATCTTGTATATACTCCTTTGTATTTGGTTTCTTTCACTTATACTAATGCTTTTGAGATTTATCCATGTTGTTGCCTCTATCAGTAGTTCATTTTTTATGTTGCTGAGTAATATTCCTATATATGGATTATTTAT